GTAAATCATAATTCTAATTACTCGCACTGGTATATAACCCTTATTTGTTCCCAGTTATTAGGTGAACACTCTCAGGGTCACTTTAGCGTCGCTCAAAGGTCGTCCATAAATTATAGTCTCGCTGTCAGGTCAGTTTCAAAGTATCATTTTATATTCTATAAGATTTATACTAAACAGTTTAACAGACATACACACATTTAAACAAATCACAATCATCATCATCAGTCAACAAGTAATTAAGAAGAAATTATCAATAATAATAGTAATACTGTACATATTTAATGTGATAATACTAACAAAATTTACAGATTAATTACTATCTTTATACGTAAAGTACATGTTAATCAAATGTGTAATGCAATATAAGTGGAAATGCATTTTACATGTAGAAAAATATGAATATAAATGAAGGTAATAAACATGATTTAAATAAAAAGATTTGGCGCGAAAGTACAATTTGAAATCTCACTTGAAAAATAAATAAATTTATAAAGATCTATTGAATATAAATGCATATATCTATATGATCCAATATGTATCGGGCCAGCTTCAGAGATTATACGAGCCTTTGGATGAATAATAGTATTTGCACCGATAATTATCTCACCAGATAGTTCACATTCGGAACAGACAACAGCTCCAGGCGTTATGCGTACTTATATATAATGGAATTGAGATTACTATTATTATGTAAAAGATAAAGATGAATCATAAAAAAAATTTGTATTTTGTTAAAATATTTAAGTGTTTCTTTTTAAAGTTAATTAAAACGAATTGAATTTCTATTTTGAAATTATTGATCATTCAATGCATAATTCAGATCCTGAAATAAATGGAAATTAAAGAACTACAGTGAAAATAATGTGTTTTATAACACAAATTTTATGATATGTTTCAGATAAAAAAGAAATGAAGTACGGAACACTTCCAAGACTATAATTTCAATATTATTAATATTACTTTGAACCGTTTGTTACATACTGAATACAATAGTTACTGTTCGCTTACAAAAGTGAACCCGAAAGAGTGTTATCTCAAAACAAAACTGTTAAACTAAATTATAACAATAAAATAATGTTGAGATGGTGGCGAAGACTTGTAGCTTAGGTGGATGATTTTAGTGGAGTTTTGTTCTCTGAGTTGGGTGGTTTTGTCGTGAAGCTTTCATCGTTCTTTTGAATGGAGTGAAGTTTGTGCTGATAATGTTGTTCAGAAGAACGATGAAAACCATCCAGCTCAGAGAACAAAACTCCACTAAAATAAGACGGTGTTTTTGTTAATGTCTGACAGTGAAGTTTGAGGTATTTTACTCTAGATATAGTTTTATTTACATATTATTGGTTGATATTGGTGATAAGAGTTGAACAGAAGAGCGGAAATAATACAATTTAGAAAAAAGCAACCTATAAACAGTTAAGATCGCGAACCGACCAATGTTAGATCATCATTGAAAACTTGGAAGCACTGGATGGCCGTTTCGTTCTAGTATGAAACTACTCAGCAGTGCGCATCCACGATCCCACATGTGAGACTCGAACCCAGGACCCTTAGTCTCGCGCACGAACACTTAAACTCTAGACCATTGAGTCAGTATGCAACTTAAAGGTAAAGTATTTTAAACAATTGTCTAGACAAGACACTCAATTTTCGTTGGCCGGATACCATCAGCAACAGCCTACTGTCAGAGAGAACAAACCAACTTCCAGCTGAAGAGGAAATTAGGAAAAAGCGGTGGAGGTGGATAGGAAATACATTACAGAAATCACAAAACTGCATCATTGAGCAAACCCTAACTTGGAATCCTGAAGGAAACCGGAAAAGAAAAAGGCCAAAGAACACAATGAGCCGAGAATTAGAAGCAAACACAAGTAGGATGAATAGCAACTGGAAACAACTGAAAAGAACTGGCCAGAAGAGAATTCGATGGAGAGTGCTGGTGAGCGGCCTATGCTCCTACACAAGGGTTAACAGGCGTAAGTAAGTAAGCTGTAGCCTAGTAGCCAATGTGATGACAGGTGAACGCAGTTATACATATCTATAATTCACATGAAATTTGAACACAATATTGAGTGATTAAAATGAGATTAATGTTGGTAAATGAATTGGACCGACAAATGCAATGTTTTCAAATAAAATTCAGTGGCAATTTAGCTAGGTATCAACGCTTATTATCACTTACACACATAAGGTTTGGTTTATTAATAAAATAAACATAACAAACAGATCCTAATTGAAAAAAACGTATAAAATAAGTTATTCCAATTGCCTATAACATTTTCTTACATAGAAAACTCATTTTTCTGACTAGTGATCGTATCTTTGACTTTAAAATCATTTGTAGAATTATGCAAATAATTTAGTCTCGTGAGCAGCTATCACTCACTCAGCAGTAATGTATGTATGGTTGTACAGTCCTGTTGGACAGTATTATTTTATTTTATTTCAACAAACAAAAATTAACTTTACAAATCATTAAAATCTACACTCGTAATATCTATACTATACAACTAACTGTACAAATCTATACTTGTTCGGTTATATCCGCCAATAATATAGGGTTTCTGATTGCATTAGTGAATGATGGAGGCTTGAATATGAGAGTTTCATGTTAACTGTTATTCACTAAATAAATTCGAGTGAATAAATCTGATAACTAAGGATATATTGGGGATTTTTATAATACAAAGAAAATAAACAATCTGAGACATACCTATTCACTAGAATCAAATTTTTCTACAAATTCATCTGCTGAATCATCTTTTGAGCTTGGTATCTCCGTACCCGACGCTTCACTTGAAGATTCTTCGTATTTAATTACATTACGCTTTTTTCTAGGAGGATTACAACGTTTGGGAGGGCATGATTTGGCGATTGACAACAATTTGGGTAATAAATGAGCTTTATCATCTGTACCTAAACGTATCCATCCTTTGTCAGTTTCAACATTTTTGACCGGGATATCTAGAGAAATTGATGATTCAAGAATTTTCTCTTCCTCTTCTTCAAGATACAATGGAATAACTTTTTTGCCAGTCATTTCTTTATGTTTTACTGTTTTATTTTTTTCGTATTTTTCAATAGTAGCTTGTTTATTATGCAATGGAGCTAAAGCGAATTGTGCTTTAACTCGATGCCATATAAAGAGTCCACGAACTAATCGTTTCCAGTTTTTTAGCGCACGCTCTATTCGTTCTTCATGCTCTAATTTTGCTGCATTCATTTGTTCCGTACGCCATGCATCAATAAGAACTGGTACAGACTCTTTACAGACAACATATCCTTTTATATTTGGATGAGCCCAACCACTACCATGAAATGTCCAACCAACAACAGCTTCTGCACAATCAATTCCAAGTTTTTTAGCAATATACTGAATACCTGATGTTAAAATATACAAATAATACATTTTTTAACAACGAAAATAATTTTCAATGAAGGTAGATAACATTCGAACAATCATCGAAGATAGAATTATATTAGACAAGTGTTACGAGTTAAATAGGATGTTCATTTAGTAACCATAGAAACCATGCAGCTGTTACGTCAGTCTGAGTGTAAGAGATTGGATGCATAAATAATCGATGTGAGCAATTCCGCTCCTAATTTGCCGGGAATGAACTCTCTAAACGGACGATCCTCAATGATCAATCTCAAAATTCGCATATCGATTTGAGATTTCTACTTATTGACTTTCAATGTGCTGGTTACTTAGTTTAATAAATTGTGATAGTTAATAATCACTTAATTAATAGGTATATAACTGAATAAACTTGGATGTAATTTCATCCTTCTGGAAGGTTTATACCAGGAACAGTTTTGATACAAACTTGTACTCCTCACTTCAGTTATGAGGTAGAGAAGAAGAAGAAGAAGAAGAAGAAGAAGAGGAAGAAGAAGAAGAGGAAGAAGAGGAAGAAGAAGAGGAAGAAGAAGAAGAAGAAGAAGAGGAAGAAGAAGAGAAACATAAGAGTAGTCTCGTTCACTGTAATGGAGTTGGATTTGGAAATAATCAACTAAGTACACAAACGTGTCAGAGATGCTGTTAAGCATGGTTAAGAATGATGGTCAAATGTGATCTTTTGTGTTATATTCTTAACTAATTAAATCTTAGTTGTATTTCTAATGAAATTATATCCTATACTGAATGATACTTCGCTATTAAAACCTCAGATATATGAACGAAGAATATTCTTCTCAATAAGTTCGCATTAGATTCTACAGTTATAAATCCAAACTATTGTTTCTAAGGAAGTACTAAGTTTAAAGCAAATACATTACTATCTTATTTTTTTTACAAAAGTCATTCGACTTATGTGTTGCATTCTAGTACTCTACTATACATCATTTTCCTGCTATTGACTACAAATCTGGATTAATTTTTGCTCATACTTCTTATAAATAATAACATGTACATATAGATTGAACTAAATCTTTTTCCCTCTGATCTATATTTAATTTTCAGAAGGGGTTTTGTGGAGATTTTAGAAATTTCACTGATTGAAATCATGAGTCAATTGAAGCTAGACCACCATGGAAAATCGATTCATGACTTCAATCAGTGAAATTTCTAAAATCTCCACAAAACCTCTTCTGATAATAATCATCTGCTCACTGGTAAATGACTTCAAGAGATACTCCTGGAGTTCTAGTGAGAAGCCGTGACCAGTGGAGTTCAACCAGGTCTGTTGTGATATCAGCTCACTGAAGACAATGGTGTACGGTGGCGCAACTTCGTGGATTGGTTGAAGTTAGACATTAACACCGTCGGATGCCAGCTCACTGGTCTAGAGGTTAAGAATTCGCATGCGAGACCGATATGTCTTGGGTTCGAATCTTGCGAGGCGGGGTCGTGGATGCACACTGCTGAGTCCCGTGTTAGGACGAAACGGCCGTCCAGTGCTTCCAGGCTTTCCATGGTGGTCTAGCTTCAATTGACTCATGATCTATATTTAATTGTATATTTTGACGCTGTTGTTTTTTCTCAATTTTTTTTTCTTTTTGCAAAATAATTTTATTTCATGAGTATCAATGCCAAGGTTGGACTTGATAGTTTTAAATAAATTGAGCATTGAGTAAAACGTTAATAATAAGCATATACTTTTTGTTATAGTATTTATGTTAATTTAATGTCGGTTATTTATTTACTCTGAAGAAGTGGCCTGCACTAAGTTACGAAGCGTCAGAAATACAATTTTTCTACTCATTTGGATATAAAAAATATATCCATTATTAATGTTACTTAATACATTTTGCGGTACATTCCTTAATGTTCTATTGTATCGAACACTTTTTTATTATAGGAAATCATTCTTTAAAATAAAATGAGTCACAAAATAACGTAATTCGGATACGTTTAAAAAAAGGCCTACAAAGTGTAGAGAAATTATTCTGTATTACTTTTGATGATGGAAAGATCAAATTGAAATGAAATCAAACATGATTTTTAAAAAAAAGGAAACCATATAGAACATACCAGAAAGACATAAGTGTGCACAGCCTATAGGAAGCATGCACGGTTTAAACAAATCAACATTTCCATGCGCATTACGTGGGACAATACCATTTTCAGCTTTCGGTGGTACATACGGTTCCACTTGCCATGGACCGAATATTTCAACAGTTGCAGGTGCAGAATCGGAACCTTGTAACAACTTACGTTTCATAGATAAACGAGCTTTAACAACTTTCGCGGGTTTTTCATGAAGACGAACGGTCTGAGAATGGAAATACAAAAAAGGAAAATAAAGCAACCACATATGACACTGAATACCTATGAATAAATATTTACTGGTACTTGAAATCTTTATATACAACGTTTTGACAATGAAGTGTGCTTAAAAAAGTTGTGAAAAACCGGACCAAAACTCTAAATAGCTGAGATATCAATTAGCAGTTTCTTACGATTAAAGAGGGTTTAAATCTAAAGTAACAGAATAGTAACTATGTAGTGATATAAGACAGTCGCTAAGGTACATGGTTTTCAGACAGTGAATTATAATCAAATCAGTTTTTCACTATCGATATAACTAAAAAACCGTTACATATTAACACAATTCTTCGGTTAGTGTTAATATCATGGTCTTTCAAAGTTTGGGCTTTAACGAACTTAGTCCTGCACTAGTTTAGCATAATCTGTTAAGGCAAATGATGGGCTGACATACATTACTGATGACCAGACGCCTTTGTAGATGTAAGTATGGGTATTGATGACTAACAAACGAAGTAAACTTAATTACAACCATGGGTTTGTGAAATTCAGATTGTACCAAGGTTATTATCCTTAACGAAGGAGTTTGATTATGAATAGAGTGGTCTTGAGTGTTGTTGGAAGTATGAGAGCGGTTATCACTTCCCGGTTGCCCACACTGTGGAAGAGTTCTTCTGGAGATACTTGAAAAGGAAATTGGGTTAGGTGGTCTTAGTGACCCGAGAGCATCACCGTAGTACCCAAGGACAACTGCTTGAGGTCGGTCACACACGACACTTTTGTGGGTAATTTTCGTGTTAGCTCCGTACTTGTTGAGACCTTACTGCTGGAGACGGATATTCGTGGGATAAGGAGATGTGTGCATTTTTAAGGTCGACCTTTTCTAACCCCATCCCTCCTTGTGGGAAGGTTGTATTGGAGGAAACATCTTACTGCCGTAACACCTCTGTACAGTCAGCAGCACGACTTCGTCCTCAGACCATGGGTTTGCTGCTTTTAGTCTTATCGCTCTTCAACTGACCTGTCTGGCATAGTAGGACCTTGAAGAACGATTGTTCCAGCCAGTATAGATCGATTGGTTTAGCACGATAGGCAAGCCCGACCACCACATCAAGGCAGCAACAACTGTCTTAGAAATATTGCTCGCATCTGCTGGGATCACCGGGTAAGTAATAGTGAGCTTAGATGCAAGGTATTAGGGAATGATGGTAAATCAGTTGATGAGGTTGTAAATCTTCATTGACTAAGATGGTTGGGCCATGTGTCGCGTATGCATGAACACCGATTATCACGACGCGCAATGCTGACACCATTGGTAGGGGATGGTTGGAAGAAAGATAGGGGCGGCCAAATCAAAACGTGGCATCAGTCCTTGAAGTCACTAACTTCTAGTCTGAGCCACGTTGGTAGATGAAGACTACTTGGTTTGGGTCCGTGTGACTCTGGGTGACATGGCTCAGAATCGATCACAATAGCGTAGGTGTATATACTCTTTGTCTTCCTTTAAACTATGAGATTAAAATCGCTTCATATCTTTCTTTCTACGAACTAATTCTTTTTTCCTGTACTATATCCTTATATGCAATCTTTCTTTTATATATTACCATCACTGAATTAACTACTTCTATGGATTTGGTGTTCATCTTGTTGTGCTAATGAGATATGGCAACTTGGACTAATGTGTCTGGCTCTACGCTGTAGCAGACTGACTGACTGATATCCTTATGTAACCCGTTGGCTTTTGGGTGAGTTTTGTGAGATAATCACTGGGATATAACCAAGTGACTTTGGATCGTAAGGTGTCGAGATCACACCCAGTATAATTTAATTAGGTTTTAACAGCAAAGAAATATTTCTAGGTTCGGCTAAAAGCTTAGTACACATGGCCAATGAGTTGGAATTCCACAGTTAACCATCAAGTATGTAAGAAGTAAAACAATTTAGGAGGCGATTTTCTGTCATATTTCAGAAACTTTTTTCATTAATATTCTTCTTTAGTCATAGTTATCTGGAACGTATAATCTGGAAAAAGTGCATCGACTCAAGTTGCAAAACTACATCAGTACAGAGATTCTAGGGTATTACACATAGTTAGTGATAATAGGAAAGATGAGGGATATAATATGAATTTGCGGAAGGAAACATTTTCGAGAACATCTAGGAATGTATTTTTCTTGAAAACAATAGTGTTGTGAACATACCATAGCCTCTTTTAACCATGATTCTCTGGTATGACAAAGATGAAGACAATCACGAGAATAAACCGGTTCATTACGAAAATATCCCAAGGGGATTGAATCAGGTGGATGAATAACTTGAAATTTAAGTAAATGGCGTTGGAGAACATACAGTGGATGATTCTTAAAGTCTTGCACACGTTTAGGTAGAGGTTCAGATAAAAGCTTTTCTTGAATAGAATCCTTATCTTTTTTGTCTCGTTGAAAAGTTGGGACTGTATTTAACTTAGAAACTAAAGCATCATATTCAACGGCATCTTTATCGAAAAATCTACTTTGTATATCAAGAAAACTACTCCACTTCTCAGCAGGAATGCGATGAGTACGAGCAGAAACACACCAATCCTGAACATAACGAGGAGACAGGTCAACTGGATTTCTACCAACATAAGATACTAATTCAGGACTCGATGATCGTACAGAACAAGCACCGACAACATATAAAGATCCATTTTTGAAATTCACTTTATCCACAACACCTGTAGGCGATGATGGATCAATACATACCCAACGATTCAATTTCGGTAGAAATACTTCAGCAAACAGAGTAATGCTGGATTTTGAACTCTCATTATAATAATGATGATCAAAATTGGTATCAAATATGTCTTCTTCATCTGAAGAAATGATTTTTCGATTATGTTTTCCCTTATTTGAACTTTTAATTTCTTTACTTTTAGACGTAAGCATTTTGGTCGCTGTTTCACTAGGCAATAAAGGTATTGGATGAAGACCAAGGATTATTCGTACATCGAATCCAAGAGAACGAAGAGCTGCAACAAGTAGTATGAGACAATCACTTTCAGTTGATTTCGACTCTGAAAGACGACGAACAAGCTGGTATTCATAATCACCGCATGAATTATTTTCAGTACATAATTGCATTCCTTGATAAGACAACAATGAAACAAGACACGCTTCTACATGTTCAATTGACCACAATGATAATCTGATAAACTGTTTTGTTTTTTGATTGTACACTGCATTTGTATTAGCCAAAAGTGAAATACCTAAAGCCCAACATAAGGAACTGTCACAAGTTTGATTTATCACACGACTATGAGCAAGAAAACATAACACATGAACTGAATGCATCAATGTGTAATGTTCTTTTAGTTTGCGTTTTAGTGCAAGTAACTCGAGAAGTTTTGGATCTTGTTTAGAATGTTTTTTAGTGAAACTATCAAAAGGGATAGCCACAGTTAGTGATGTAGGCTTTTTTTCTCTATCTTCGCAAGGTACAGTATTTGAACTGAAATTCAAAAGGTTATGCATGAAATCTAATTCATTAGTTGGCTCATCATCCACTTCAACCCATTCTGTTTCGTCGTCTGAATCATTATTTACAATACTTTGAAATTTTTCAACTACATTAACGTTTCTCAATGGTTTATTCAGTTTTTTAGCCACATTCTTAGGTTTGAATTCTGAAAACAAACGCAAATTGCCTTTTCTCTTGCTTTTAGGTCTTTCAACACTTGAGCACTGGGATACGAAATCACTTGAATCGCTGTCATTACACTCATCTTGAAAGTGGCGATCTGTCAATAACTCTTTATCGTCTCCGAACAATTCATCTTTTTTCTCCGAACCCAATGTTCCTTTAAGACTTGATTTCTGTGTTTCTACTCTTGAACTAATTCGTTTACTACGTCTTTTTGTATGCTTATTCAAAGCGGATAGATGTTCATCTTTGTTACTGGAAGCACTTTTCTTGATTGTGGTCAACCGACTTGACTTTTTAGCTGGATTAACCGATTTCTTATTTTCAGGTATTTGGACTTCATCAGTTGACCTAACTGGTCGAGTAGAACGCCTTGGTGTACAAGAAAGAGTGGCACTTTTCCGGCCCATATTTAATTACATGTCCGTATATCTACAAAAACGTAATATTTAAAACGAACTTTAGAGCTTAGAAAACAAGGATCAGTGAAAAATCTGCTCAGAGAATATTAAGCAGTTACAGGATGAGACCGTGCACATAAACTCATTATGACTTTTACAATACTAGTGATTAACTTGGAACTCAATATTAAAGATATCATGGGGAATACATTTGGCAACAATGTAAAAATGACACAATTGACAGAGACATAATACAGTAGTATGTAGTGTTTGAAATATTTTTTTCGGGAGCGCCTTGATTTTTACAGCATAGTTATGATAGTTTAGACTTTCACTTTTATCTCACGCGGCTTTTACGTAAATACAGAAAACAATGCCCAAGATGAAGAACGACTGTAGACAGATAAGTCAACAAAAGAACACACATAAATTGAAACTAACATACTTTGCAAATCTGCAGGCAGAATTTTTTGGAAAGGGTACTTTGGATAAACAAGGGTTCACAGTAAAAGTAAATATCTAAACGGACAGAGATGAAAAGCTCCATACTTGAGAGTGGAAAAAAGAAAAAAATCATTCGCACCAGTATGTCGGATTTTTGACTACCGATTTCCTATCACAAAACGGTAATCCAAAATGTTTAAATCTCCCCATACAACGTAGAGCAATAGTTATAAATAATATAATAAACAGTCAGCTTAATTAGTCTGTTTAAAATGTTCTGTCACTAATTGGTTCCATTTTTGTTATATTACACAAATATACAACTCTGTTAAATCCGTATTTTTGACTAATCGACTTTCAGAGGTTGTTTCGTTTAGGTCGTACCTGACTATTGTGAATTTCAACTAAAATTTAAGCTCCGAAACTACTTAGTAGACTATTTTAAACAACGGAAGGATGGAAGGTTATGTGCTCAAGGTTTTTCGGTAATTTAGTAGAAAGTGTTTATGAACAAAAAAATTGGGTTAACAAGCAATCACGAACTGACATCAGGTATAATGTCAATGTATTAATTACCCATATGGATTGATGAACTTTGCGCCACAATCCAAGACTTGCTACCTTAAGTCCCATTGATTCGTACACAAAATAGACTCGCCGTTACATTTACTGTGTAATTTTGGGTTAAGATGGATGAAAATCCCTAAGGATTATCTTATCTATTGAGTTACAACCCATAAATACTAAAAAATACTTTAGGATCCCCGGATTAGTTAATAACAAAAAACTAATAAGACAACAAATCAGACTGAAAATTCAACTGCAGCACCTGCAACCACGTCAGCGTTTACAATCTTTTATTGCCAGAAATAACTGTGATCAAATTAAGGAAGTCCACTAGTTCGGGTTGTATTCAAAATTCATCGAAAACGTCCACTCATAGGTTATGCACTTCTCTCAGACTATTCAGTCCTCGAATCCGATGACATATTGATAAACTTATCAATTACCAACTTCACTAAAAGCTTATACGATACAAACATAAATACTTAATCAAGCAATTACGAGCGAGGTAATTGAAAATGTTAATCATGATCAAACTGGTCTGTGACCCATACTTAAGAACCTGTTAGACGAGACTCATCAATAAATAGAAAACAACGCAACTTAACAGGCAGATGAGAGCTAACTAAAAATGATGCACTCCCATCTTTCGCAATTCATTTCATCCTATATCTGTTCCCGCGAAATCAAAATAAAACTCGGAAATAGTTCGGGAAATAATCCACGCAAAAATGCCATAGTGGGGAGGAATAAACTTCTATTAAAGGAGTTTGCAGTCTACCAAACATCAGGCAGTTCTCGAAGAATCAAGTAAACAAGAAACATGCCTTACGTATCTGTACAGAAAGGGAAGTAACGCAAACGCCTAAATTAGCGGGGTCTCGTGTCGGTCTGTAAGTCAAATGGTTCAAATGGTTGTGGACGGAATAGAAGAAGCTTTCGCTTAACAGGCTTCCGTGTCTAGTAGCAGGGGATCACCAAATCCTCCAGGCAGGAACCTAGGTATGTTAACAATAAAAGAGGAAAAGAAATTGGTATATCATAGTGTGATGCTGTCCTTGGTCCTTAAGAATAGGTCAAGTTGCCTCTTCAAGGACTCCTGAGAAGTCGCTTGGACTAGCTCGGCCGGCGGCGAATTCCAGCTTTTGACAACTCTTAAAGAGTAGAAGTTGTGTCTACATTCCGTCTTGCTATGTTGTGTTTCCAGTTTCTGGGTGTTACCCCTTAGGTTATTATTCGAACTAAGCTTAAGTAGGTGTTTAAGAGGATGTCCAGAAGTGTTAAGAATACTATAAGCCATTAATAAATCACCTCTGAGACGCCTGTACTCTAATGGGTAAAGGTCTAGTGAATGGAGGCGTTCTTCGTAAGGCTTAGATTTGAGTCCTCGAACTGATTTCGTGGCTCGCCGTTGGATACGCTCCAAAGTGACCTTATCCTTTTGGAGTGAGGGAGGGAGTACTATGTTTCCGTACTCTAAATGGGAACGGATGAAACTATTGATGATTGTATGGAAAGTTCTTCCGTCAAACTGTCCAAAAATGCGCTTCAACGTTACCAGTGCAAGGTTTGCTCGGAAGGCATTTTTGTCACAGTTAGCGTAAGACTTTAAATCATGGGGCACCAGGACTCCTAAATCTTTTTCGACTTGGGATACTACTAGAGAGGAGTTTCCCAAGTTGTAACTGTAGTTTCCGACATGTCGCAGATGGACTACTTTACACTTTGAAGTGTTAAAGGTAAGTCCGTCATCGTCCGCCCAATTTTGAAGTCGAGTCAGATCCTCCTGAAGTGCCTGTATATCGTCTTGGTTGCGTATCTCTCTCCAAAGTTTCACTTCGTCGGCAAAAAGTAATACGTCTGACGTTACCTGTTGAGGAAGATCATTTATGTAGATCAAGAAGAGAAGAGGCCCTAGTACTGAGCCCTGGGGGACCCCACTAGGACATTCCATAGTCTGAGATAAAGTGAAATTAACCCTGACCTTAAAGTGTCGATTTTTTAGGTATGAAGTAAGCCAATCGATTAGAGGTGGTTTGATACCTAGTCGTTTGAGCTTACTGATAAGACACAAGTGGTTAACCTTATCAAAAGCTTTTGAGAAATCAAGGTAAATGATATCAACCTTTCTCTTGCGATCGAGGATGCTTGTCCGTCTGTCCACCACAGTCAGCAGGTTGGTTATACAAGAGTATATCTGTCTGTCCTTGTGAATTATGCATTTCACTCCTCAGTAATAAGAAGAAGTCTATCGACCTATATTAATTCTTGCAGTTTGTTACACTGTGAATGTCCAATATCGTTTTGAATATATCAACAAAAGGTGCTGATATTGCGTGTTCTGGTGGAGAATTCCAGTAATTCCCTACCCGGTGCGAGAAACGAAACTCCAGACGCAAACGATTTGATCTCAGTTTTCGGACTTTCTTCGAATGTCCTCCCAAATAATCAGTTTTAGACGGAAGGAAAAGATAGGACAGATTAATTCCAAGATCATCGTTCAGTTTACGATAAGTCAATATTAATAACCCCGTATTCCACGGTAAGATAACAGAAATAAGTTAAAGTATCTCATTCTGTCTTCATAATATATGCTAGATAGGCCTTTTGCCATCTTAGTCCATCGTCGTTGGACTCGTTCCAGCATATTCACCTCATACTTGAAACGTGCTTGAATCCCATATTAAAATGTGTTCGCACGAAAGTCGGGTGAAATACTCTAAAAAATCCATCATCCAAATACTAGAAAGACCTACAAATAGACCATAGTACCCTATAGCCCTTTTTGCAGCAGCCTTGCAGTGACTGGTAGTTTTGAGATCATTGCTTAGTATGACTCCTAAGTCTTTATAGATTCTTACTTTGGGTAGCACGAATCCACATAGTGTTTAGTGATACGAATCGTCATAGTTATTCAGCTGAGTCACTATACTCCTGTTAGGATTTACTCCTAGTGACCACCTATCTATCCATGTCACCAGTGGGCTGAAATCATCCTGTAATACTATTCTATCTTATATGCTGTGTATGGTAATTCGTTTACATAAAATAAAAAGAGAAGGAGACGCAGGATTGTGTCTTGGGGAACTCGACTTTTTACAGGTTCTTATGATGATAGAGCTCCATTTACCCTCACGCTTTGTCTCCTGATATGGAGAAAGTCATTTATTCTGTCTGTGATTGTATAATGGATTCTCAAACTTTCCAGTTTGAATTTAATACCAGAATGAGAGACCTTACTGAAAGATTTACTTAGATCTATGAAGATCACATCTACAGGAATATTTCGATCTTCTCTTGCAATCAGATTGGTCAAACATAATAGGCCTCTCTGAAAACCATGTCTCTTGCATAAAAGATTATGCCCTACTCCATAGTTTGTGAAAGCTATCAGAATAATTTTTTCCATCAATTTTACAACTGTACTAGTTAAGCTAACGGGTTGATAATTACTAACTAAATCTCTATTCCCAGCTTTATACATCGAACTAATTATCGCGTCTTTACAGCCTCTGGGCAGTCCGGACTGCCATAAAGGCATATCAAACAGTATCGCTAAAAGTTCAGCAATTACATTTGATAAGGCTTTCTTTATCCTAGGATAAATATCATCAGGACCACTGGACTTCTTAGGCCTGAGATGTTGAAATAACTTTAAGAAAGTATCTTACTCCATCAACAAGCCGCCACAATCACAATAGATCGTTGGTCGTTCCTCATTACTAATAGAAAGCCCTTTACTGAGATATTCCGATGAAGCTTCAGCCTAACCACACAATCCTTCAAGTTGAACACGAGACAACTAGGAAATAGATATTCAACATTTAACGCGGAGAGAAACCCAACGATGGAGAAGGCGAGAAGAATTAATCCAATTAATTCGAATCGGTCGGATGGCCTGGCTCGGCCTTGCAGGCGTGGTCCTACTTATGTAACATTCCTTTATCTATATTAAATATATTGTTCTATCTCCAACCCAAATGTGTTCTTCGCCATATATTGATGATTGTTACAATACGAATGTGTCAGGGTAGATAATGATGTGACATCCACGTATGATCTTATAGATTAGGCAATTACATCATGACAAATGTACAATTTTAGGATAAAGTCTATTATTAGAGCAGTACTAATATCATAGTAGACCATAATTCCACAATGGTAAGCCTGACTAGAGAAACGCAGCCTATTACTAAGTATACCTATTTTCAATTGAACATTCTCGATCGATTTTTACTTATGTAAACCCAATATTCCATTAGCCATCTGGTTAGTGTTCACATGTATTATCGTAATGTTATATTGGTTAGTACTCATAACATACTAACTTGATCGATACTAATAACTGGTCATCTATATTAATTAGCTTTGATGGTCTATTAACAAGCTTTAATAGCATTTACATGATTCAGCGAAATAAACTTGTTTAAACATCAATCTCTAGTAAATATGACCTGTAAATAACCTCAATATACGTTGACTAGCGACGTAAGCAAGGACTAGACAGTTATCTGGATCTAATTCTTCATACTGTTTCTTCGCCTAACACCTCATTCTGTTTTAAACTATGCACTATCCTGTATTAGATTTTCTTCCGACCATTGCCTACCTAGTGTCCAATTTTCGAGTTCCATTGACTAACAACGAAGACACTACTCCACAAACATACGGTGAGTTTAAGCTATAAATTTCCTGCAGTCATAAGGTCATTTTAGATGGCTCATACAATAACAGCCACACAATTATCTGGGACCATCCAATTGTTATGATTCGAGCGAGTAGCAAAAAGGTCGACAGCGCCAAGCACCCTGGAAGTAGTCGCCATACTGAGTGTTTTATTCTGGATGATTTTGGATCATGGCTACTCGTCACGAGTGGCCTTATATATGTCGTCTACTGAATAATCTAATTTTCGAAAATAATCCGGGCGACTTTCATCTTTTTTCCCTTTCCTGGTTAACTTACTATGGTTTTAGCACTTCTTAACTCACATAGACTTTTTCCGTTGGGCTGGTTGTATAAATTTCATACCAGCCACCCCCAAGACTTTTTGGTAGAAAAGTTGAATACTTTTATACTACAACATACTATTAAGAAAAAGCGTGTTGTTTAAAGACATTTCTTAATTCCAGTTGATCTTGCCATGTATTTGTAAATATCACTAGGCTATGTGCAGGGACTTCTTATGGAAAGTTTATAATGCATAATATTCCTGCCTGAAGTTTCATAAGCCGTATTAACTTTAAAATTATATTCTGGTCTTGTTTATTATCTTATTATTATCATATAGCTCACCAACCTGCATGTTAGCCTGGCCCGTACATGCGTTGAATTATATCTCTATTTCTTTTAAATTTAAAAATCACTTGAATCGCTTTTAACATTCTCAGTAAACTCAACATAGTCCTTACTGCTATACGTATTTGAGTTTATGAGTCGGTCTACCATATATTAACCTAAGAGGACGAACGTAGTTTAAATAATAAACTTACCAAATATAGGTACTATCATAATGCAATTGTATAATAAATAAGCTTTCAGGTAGTTGTTGGCTAAACAAACATTTAAAATAAAAACTCCGGAGCCTAGTAATAAGAGTAACACTAGGCGAATATTTTTGAATTGGAATTTATAACATAATCAAAGAGCTTAGATTCTTTAACGCTACAAACGTTTGCTATTTCAGAAGCACATAAAACAACAATACCTGTTTTCTACTGGCTACTCGTCAATAAATACTATAACTAGTTAAACATAATGGTTTCAGGATATTGTCATAAAGCATTGTCATGACTTGACAATCGCGTAATATGATTGATAAAATTGATGGAACTGTCAATGAAATCTGTCAACAAGTTGACTTTTAATTACAATTAAATAATG